TATAGTAGTAGAATATCGGACTTATATTATAAGAAGAACTCCTATAGATTATAGTATACCTTAGGAATTTACTATTAAATAGACTCCTTCTCTATAACTACTTTATTCCTAGGAGCTAGTTCCGTAATTACTATATTAATCTTATTAAGAGTAGTAATAAATACTTCGGTATCCTTAGCCTATATATAGCGTTTAAATCCTACTTAACTAATAAAAGCTTGAGTAGGACTTAGAAATATAGTATTTAATTCTACGCGAGACGGTTAAGGAGCTAGGACTACCGGTTCTCTATCCCTAGCTATTATATAGCTAAATACCTTATAGACTCGTAAATAATTACTTAAGAACTCTTTAGGAAGTTAATATTCGACGTTATATATAGTTAAAATAATCCGAGATCTATCGATCCGCTCCTACTCGATTAGTCGCTCTATTTCCTAGTTATAGGCTTCGGTATATATCTAATATTTCTAATTTATAACCCGCGAACGTATTAATACTAGTAGGAGGATCTCTAGAGTTAGTTTCCTAGCTATCTTATCTACTAGGATAACTTTAGTAGGCTACTAGATTCGGTAATTCGTATAATCTAATAATACTTAATAATATATAAATTAGGCTTATCCGATAATTATATAGTAATAACCTAAACCGGTAATAAGGAACGGTATCTAATAAAACTATTATCTATCGATCTAGAGAGTTAGAACGATTATATAGGTAATAGCGTTTCTATCTTTCCTATTATATCCCTCTACCTTTACTAACTAGGGTAAAGGTATCTATAGAATATTCTAAATATCTTAGATAGTATAGGCTAATCCTTTATCGATAGCTATATAGGGTATTACTCTAGTATCGAGTAAAATAGTTATATAGGTTAACTAACTATTAGATATAAGTATAATTAGAAAAGTAAATTATTTATTATTTCCTAATACTATATATAAATCTAAAGATATAACTACTTTTATAATACTTATACCTAGAAGGGAGACTTATTCTAGGCTTAGGCTTTTCCTACCTCGGAGAGTTTAGAGATCTCTTCTATATAACTAGGATTAGGTACTAATACCTTAGCTACTAAAGTAGCGTATTCCTTACTAGGATACTTAGAAGATATATATCCGGTCTATCTATATCTAAAGTATTATTCTTTCTTTATATAGCGGGTATAGGTCTCCCTATCTAGACTCTTAGCGTTAGGCGCTAGGATTACCTTTATCTCGCGAGGCGTAGTACTAGATAATACCGAAGTTATAGTAGTAGTTTTATCGTTAGACTTCTTAGAGAAACGCGCCTTTAATACTCTAGATAGATTAGTACTTTTATTATTAGTAGTCTAGCCGCGTTACTAAGCGGAGATCTAGCTACTTAGGTAAAGAGCGTTATACTTCTTTCTAATCTTATAGCTAAACTCGGTAAAGGATATAAGGGGCTTATCGATTAAGTCGATATCGATAATCTCCCGAAGTCGGGGAGTTAAGCGGTTCTAGAGAGCGTACTTCTTCTAGCGCTTACCTATAATAAGTTTACTAGTATCGAAGAGATAAGAGAACTAAGATAGGAAGTCGCTAAATAACTAGCTACCCTATATCTCTAAGTTCTAGAAATCCTATTTAGAGTATATAGCTTTATTATAGTTACCGAAGATAGATCTAAGATACTTAAAGAGATCGTTATAGTTCTAGTATCGCTCGGAAGCTATATCTATTATATATTAATTAATATTCTGTTTAGCTATACCTCCGTATCGAGAGTAAGCGTAGTCTAAAGCTAAGGAATCGGTAAGATCTAGTCCTATACTATATAGCTTATACTCTATCGCGATCTTCTAGTTTTCCTAAGTTATTTCCTTTCTATCGGTAAGTAGGGATAGATCGGGGATCTTAAATTTATATATAGTATATATAGAATCGGAATAGTCTATTATAGTAATATCTATAGTAGCTTTACGCTACTCGCGTTAGTTAGTAGGAGATATAGGATAGCTTATTTTAATTCGATCGGCGGAGATATAGATCTACTAAAGGATTATCTATAAAAGCTTAATAGTAATAGCGTTAAGATCAGTACTTTCCTCGGACTTACGGAGGAGCTTATCGTTTATTATCTTCTAGTTTATTAGTTTAACTATCTTAGCGGTAGCTATAGCGAGCTATCCGCGTTATTCCTCTACTTCGTTATCGAGATAATATAAGTAGTCGACTGTCGCTCGCTATATATCCTGTATTAAGTCGAATATAAACCTAGGTTTATCGTGTACTAAGTCGATAAAGTTCTTACGACTAAGTTTTCTATCGCGTAAATACTCGAGTAGATTATCTAGCTAAGATATAACCTAAATAAAATATATATCGTAGTCTTTACGGGGAAGATTATTAGGTCTAGCTAAGGAGCTCTATCGATATATACTACGCGACTCTTCCTAACCGGGTTCTTTATTAATACCTAGGCGTACTATATTAATAGATACTACTATATCGATTATTTAAAGGGAAAAGAGAAAAATAAGGGAAGATAATATATAAAGACTTAATAACTTATAGTAAGCGCTAGTCTATCGTATAAAGGTAAAAAGAATATTAAAGATCTTAGTTTTTATATAACTCCTAGGTAGTATAGCTATAATAATCTATATATAGAAGAAGGAAGGTAAAGTAACTATATCCTATATAATAAAGAAAACTAAGACGAAGAGGAAAAAGGAAAGAAAGAAATAAGGAAGATAAAGTACTACCTTAAATATCTATCGTAGACGGGGCTATAGTAAGATAGTAGAATCCTTATAGAAAGTCCTAGATAGAAGATTCCTCTATAGAAGTAAACCGAAAGGTAAATAATCCTCGGGCTCTAGCGTATACACACGCGTGAGGCTTCTATTAATAATATATAGGTAAATATCTAATCTTATAAACGTAAATATCGATTATATAATCTCCTCCTTAACTCCCTAAGTCTATATCCATCAACTAGCTAACCAACCTACTAGTTAATACTAACTCGCTAGTCGGCTAACTAACTAGTCAGTAAACTCACCAGTTCACGGTGACTAACTAGTTAACTTATCTAACTAACTCTATACTCTAAGTCTGTTCACGAACTAGTTAACCGACTAGCTAGTTAACTATTAACTTATTACCTATACGTCACAGCTAGAGGATATAGTACCTCGCTATCTAACTAATACTTTAAAAAAAAAAAAGGTTATAAAAGAAGAGGAGAGCCTTTAAGATAATATTATATACAAGAATAGAAAAGCTTTAGAAGGACTTAGAAACTTTTATTTAACTTAGCTACGTAGTATTAAGAATCTTAAAGGCTAAAGAGGAGAAAAAGAAAAGAGAAGAGGCTATAGTCTATCCTAAGTTTTAAGATAGTACGTATAGTATATATAGTAGATATAGCTTACGTCCTCTATCCTCCTATAGCCTATCCTTATCCTAAGTTAGTCCTACTATACTTATAATAATAAAGGCCTAATCCTATCTATTCTTTATATAGATTAACGCTATCGCCTAATTTTTATAATAATCGGCTTCGCTGATCGATTTCCTTTATCTAAGTTCCACCGTTCTTATAAGTATAGCGCCGATTAGCGGGGATTCGGGTCAGAAATTATAGGAATTACGGGAATTCTAACTCGGACGTAGCTCTTTCGATAGGAAGACGCGAGTACGAGGATTTTCGTGGCGCGTTTCTTTATAAGAGATTCCCGACCGCGAGGGCGCGGTCGAATCTGGTAGGGGAGGATATAATTACGGGCCCGTAGCTACCTTAGGCATCCTAACCCTTCCTTTTCGCGATAACCAGAGCTAGATAAGCTATAACCTCACCGTACGGCTCCGTTCGGTCACGTAAGGACCCTTGGTCCTCTATATATACATAGTCACGTCCGTAGCCATACTTAGAAGGACCATATCCTATCTACCCTCTGGATCTTACTCTTATCTACTAAAAACGAGTATATCGTAGCCTCGCTAGCTATATAGAAAGCTATATAGTTATATCTCTTTTTAAACGAACTTAGTCCTAGCTTCGAAAATCTACTAGATCTATCTATCTTACTCTATAAGGATAATTAAGGCGCTATCTTCCTTATAGAGAGTTATAATTTATATTAGCGTACTAAATATATTAATATTAAATATTATTATATTCGCGACTAAGTAGCTAGAGGCGTATATAAATTTATTAAAGTTACGTCCTCGGAGTAAGCCGCTAATAGTCTTACTAAACTACTATAACGGGTTTAATTCGAGCGCTTCCTACCCCTCTTAGGCATAAAGAAGCTCCTAGTATAAAGAAACTACCTTTATGAGCGTCTCGACACTAGCAGAACTTAACTGTTATTTCAAAAATATACGATAATTTCATTCTAGTTTTTCAGTGAGATTGCGGACAGAGTCGCGATTTAGGGGGGTGTTTGTATGGTATGGGATACTACCGCCTTACCGCTTCCTATAGCTTAGGTAGAATCTCTCCCCCTTAGCAATCTTACTCCTTATCCCTCTCTTATATCGATACTACTGCCCCTACCGTAGCCGTATCTCATCAGTACTAACTTAGTGGGCGGGAGAAGAGTTATTACCTACTCACTCAGTAGTATCTCCGTCACTTATATAAGTGTAGTAGTGAAAAGTGGGAGTGGGTCAATCGAGGTAAGTGGGGGACAAGGTTGAGAGCGGTGGACGGGATGTCCCTGATGGGTAATCCGAGCAAATAGCTAAGTACTATGAATGTACAAGCTACTTACTTACCTATGTACAATTGTACATAAATACATACAAGAGTCGACAGACTCGATACTGATTTACGGACCATACAAATGCGTACTCGGGTGTCCCCGGGTCAAGGTTTTCTTCGATTCGTTGCATATGTATCATGTGCATGTATTCAGCGGTCCTTGATAGTTTCGGCCTCTAGATCATTTTAACGGTCATTCTACGCCGACCAAGATGTATACACGAACACTTCGTGCTGCCCGCCTGGCTCTCCTTTCATATTAAGCCCAATGACTCCTCCACTTCATGGACGACTTTGCGTACTCCATCAATTTCATGCGCAAATCGACCGAGGAACATCCCATCGACGGCCTTGCCCAACCCACCAGCACCCCAGAGACCAGGCCCAGCGCTCCCACCATATAACACACGCAAAGCTCCCGCTCGCGGTCCGATAACCTCTCGAATCCCCTCCACAACAGCAGCGACATGATCCACCCCGGCGGGCTTGGGCTTCCCAATCGCCCACACAGGCTCATATGCAAAGATCACAGGAGCCTCGGCGGGAATCGCAGCAAGAACGGCACGCACGAGAAGCGCACATTCAGATACGGCTTGACCAACTGCTTGTGAGGCTACCGCTCCAGGCGCGGTGACTTCGCCCACGCAGACGAGTGGCACCATGCCGTGCGCACATGTGGCGGCCGCTTTGCGGGCCGTCTGGTCATCTTTCTCACCGAAGATTGCGCGGCGCTCGGCGTGTCCTAGCTCTACGATCGAGCAGCCGAGTGACTTGAGCGCAGCCGGGGAGACCTCACCGGTGTATGCGCCGTACGCTTCCCACATGCAGTCTTGGGCCCCGAGGAGAAATGCTGGCGAAGTATTGGAGACGCCTGAAGTGGCGAGTTGAGCCTCGTATGTCTTGATGACCTCTGCGCAGGGCCAGATGGTCAAGAAATCTGGAATCAGTGCGAGGAGGAGCTTGTCTCGGTTCTGTGAATGGACGATTTCCTTGGCAGGGTCAAGGATGCTGTGGAGGTAGCTGAGAGTGCGCTCGGGGGTAAAGTACATTTTCAACGATATGAGAAGAAGCTTCTCAGGAAGCGTTGGATAGGTTGACGAAGTCATGGTCGTGAGCGATGAGCAATAATGTCAAGCTTTTTCCGATTGAGTTGTGTGAGCAGTGCTTGCTTGATTGCTTTTCCCTCTGGACAACAGCAATCTCCCAGGCGCCGGAAATGTCACCCAGTTCAAGTGCGCAAGGACAATATCTGCAGCAGGTGGTAATACGAAAATAATGTGTATAGATGGTGAATCCAAGCAGAGATGAGAAAGTTCAAGATGATTGTTGTGGAATCGGATCAACCCGATCAGCGCATGATCAGCTGTCGACAATTCATCCCGCGTGGTCGGGAGTGGAGCCCCTCAAACTCGCAGTAAGGCCGAGTCCTCTGCCCACATCCGCCCCACTCTGGGGAAAAAGTGGGCGCCGAATACTACAACCCTGAACCCGATGGTCCCGTACTCTGTACATGCAAAGTTCGTACTCCGTTCTACGTGCAATGAAGTTCTATCTTCTTGCTGCTGTGTAGTACGTTGCGCCATAGGACTGAGCAGTAAGTTCATGTCATTCAGGACGGTGTGTTCAATGTATACATAGCTACGTTCCACAACTGTACCGGAGAAAATAGTACTACAAGTACACGAAGCATCTCCAAGTCGTTGCCGGTGGGGATCGGAGGATGCGGATCAGGGACCGATGCATGATGAGCTCAAGTGCTTTCCTCCAAATGGAGACCGATTTGCAGGCGGCTGAGCAGTACCTGGTACCTACCCTACTGATTTCAATACTTTGGTGTATCCTACATACCCTGCACACTGTCACGGTAGTGGCAGTAGTAGCCAAGATGTATGGATGAAATATAAGTACTGATGTGAGGAGTGAGTACTACTACTCGCCTCCAACTGTCCAGCTGACGAAAATGTATAAAAGGAAACGCCTGCCTCCCCTTTCCTACCGGGTGATCCTGGTCTTGGCTTACGACTGTTTATTCTATTCTTCTTATGCTTTTGCATCGTCACGCTCTCCTCCCACTGGTTTCGATGTACATTTAGCAATATTTTGGGCACATACACGCACCTACACACACACACACACACACACACACACACACACACACACACACACACACACACACACACACACACACGGTTTTCTCGCCTCGCCTCCAATATAACAACCCTCTTCATCAATCATGCCTTCCGAGCTTCCGCCTCTACGCCTCGTTATGGCCTGCGACGAGGCCGGTGTGCCCTATAAAGACGCGATCAAGGCCCTTTTGGAAAAGAGCCCTCTTGTCGAGTCCATCGTGGACGTGGGCGTCAACTCTACCTCGGACAAAACGGCCTATCCTCACCCCGCCGTAGAGGGCGCCAAATTGATCAGGGATGGCAAGGCAGATCGTGGCCTCTTCATCTGCGGAACTGGCCTGGGAGTTGCCATCGCAGCCAACAAAGTACCTGGCATCCGTGCCGTCACGGCCCATGATCCCTTCTCCGTGGAGCGGTCCATTCTGAGCAACGACGCCCAGGTTCTGTGCATGGGTCAGCGGGTCATCGGAGTCGAGCTGGCCAAGAAACTGGCTGTGGACTGGCTCAACTATCGATTCGATCCCCAAAGTGCCTCCGCAGCCAAGGTACAGGCCATCACCGACTATGAGAAGCAATTCTCCGGGACTGCCTAAACGGAGTTGTTCCGAGTCCAGTTCCGCACGGACGAGAAGGTGGGGAACTGGGGAACGGGAGAACTGGAGAGAGGACGGACTAGACTCAATCAAGTCCGTGGGGTAAAAAGCGGAGAGCTACCCATCAGCAATCTCCCGTGACAGAGTCACCTGACTATGACTCTGAAGGGAAGAGTTGGAAGGCACTCCAAAGTCCAGAGTCCAGACTGAAGGTACTTCTACTAAATGAGGGCCGAAGAACTGTCTGTCGAGTGTCGACCACTCGACCTACCTACTCGGGGTTCTTCTCTGTCTTTTTTTTTCGCTGCCTCGGTTGCTCATTCGTGATTCCCATCTTCGTTTCTTCGCTACTGCATTGCACATACATTCCCTGACGAAGTCGTCAAGAGATCTTAACTGTTCCGGCCTTGGAAACACTCCAATATGGCCCAGTCTGACTTTTTCTTGATCCGGCGCTGTTACGACGTCACGAAGTCCAATATGTCAAGGCTAAGTTCTGTGAGGATGCTGATGATGGTACCCAATTTCAAAGACACAAACCTACTTGCTGCTTCTTTTCCCTAGAATGACAAGGCATGCACTATATCTCCGTTGAGCTTGATACATTTCGTTGCTCAAATTTCTAGATAGAATATCTGTTAAGGTTGTTGATTGTTTGTAACTTCGCGTGAGCTGCCCCTTCCAACAGGTAAGTAGAAGCGGTAGGTGCCTGGTACTCCGATCGCAGCTTGACTCAGTCGTCTCTCTATGTACTGGGTACTCCTCAGGGGGCCGAGGCATGCTGAGTCATCCGTAATTCTTCGGGCATCGATTACTTTCCATTTCGGGTATATCGGATTCGATCTGCAATTGTTCTATATGATAGAACCGCTGGCTGAATTCGAGTTGTATTGCTAGGATAGTCTTGTGTACTTGTAGTGGTTGATTCTGTACAGTCCGCTCATATTGCTCCTCAGCCTCTGGGCTTCTTTCATTCATCTCTTCCTGTCGTTGTGTACACTGTACAGTGTGGGTCAGTCCCAACAATTACAACCCGACTGCCTTACTCTCGAAGGCCCTTTCCCCCATTTATTCTCGAGCTGCCATTCCCCTTTCGACCTCTGCATAGTTTTGTACTCGACCGGGCCGACATGGCACAGCCACTGAAGAAGAAAGGAAATGAGTTCTTCGTAAAGGGGGACTACGTGACGGCCGAAGACTTTTACTCACAGGCGTAAAGACCCCCCACCCCTCATTAAGACCAACCCTGTCGCACGGCGCACTTGCAAAGAGCAGATCGACCAACTCTGCTGAGCATGCGAGTCACACACCTATCTTCACATGACCGAACAAATTCATCCTTACCGCGAGACCAATGTGTAGGCTAACAACGCCGCGCCCTCTAGCATCGCCGCAGATTCACACGATCCCACCTTCTTCACGAACCGCGCAGTGACCCGAATCAAGCTCGGAAAGTGGCAAGATGTCGAAACTGATGCCCGCGCCGCAATCAATCTGTACGACAAGAAGGATCCCGCCGCTCTCAAGAGCATGGGATATCTCGTTGAGGCTCTAATTGCTCTGGGTCGTCCCCAAGAAGCACATGACGTTGCTTTGCCCGCCTACGAACTGAGTCTGAATACCAAGCATGCTCAGGCTGAGAAAATCTCAGGCTTGGTGCTGCGCGCAAAGAAGGCGCTTTGGGAGGCTCGCGAAACGGCACGACTACATGAGATGGACGAGACATTGAAGAGACTGGAAGATTTGATCACCGCCGAGCTGGCGCGCACAGAGAAAGAGCTTGCCGGGCAATTGGAGAGGCATGAACTTGGCGAGAGTGAATATCAGAAGAGTTTGAAGGCGACACAAGCAGATGCGCAAAAGCAGATTGAGCATATTCGTGAAGTTTTCCGGATCTCGTCAAAAGGAGAAGTTCAAGAGCGGGTACGTATTGATCTCAGCAATGTTTGCGACACGCTCCGAAATCTCCTCTCGGCCCTGTCGATCTAGTTCAAAATCAGAGATCAACTTAGGCTAACTCACGTTGCAGGTCGTGCCGGACTATCTGGTCGACGGAATCACATTTGAAATCATGCACGATCCAGTCGTGACGCCCTCAGGCACCACCTACGATCGAGTCGGAATCATCAAATACGTCGAAAAGTCCGGCGTCGATCCGCTTACACGTGAGCCGATGACGGTCAAGGACCTGCGCCCAAATTATGCACTTAAGGCGGCTTGCGAAGAGTTCCTGAGCAAGAATGGCTGGGCTGTGGACTGGTAAATGCGGCTTTTCTTTTCCCTCACAAAGAGGTTCTTCCTTGGTGAAACGGGGAGTTTCGTCAATCAACTCTTCAGCACAGGAGTAGCATGGCCATTCTTGACGATTGAAGATCCATGTGTATTATCATACATTTGTGGATCTTTTACATAGTTCGGAGTACTGGAAACTTTGATTTGCATGGTGGGGCGTCATATCCTGCATTGAAGCGAGATGATGAATACTGTCTTCTCTGTGTTTGATAACAAATTACGATCATACTTGGGCTGATCTTTCTTGAGCACTTTTTTCACGTACTCTACGCACTTGATCTTGGTAGATCTCACTTGACGTAGATCTACAAAGTAGCTATGTAGTACAATATCTTGTTTCGACGATATCGAGTCCAGCTGCCTCGACCTTTGCGATCACCCAACATGACAGATGATACATCCAACCAAGGAATAGTACATATCAGTAAGTGAGCCGATCCAAGTTGGAAGACCTGCATACACTATAGTACGATACAGTAACACTACCCAGTCGTCAAGTAGTGAGTCGACGGAGAGTTGGACACATGTACTGCAGTCAGGTACCGTCCCCAGCTCCGAGCTGCCCCTGCACAGCCGCCGATCAACTGGCGGACCGCCCAGTCAGCAACCCCACTCCTCCCCCTCCTTCTCAACAATAATCCCCGATTGTTGATTTGATTCCTTCCGATCATTACAACGCAACAAGAACCCCTCCACCTCTCTCTTTTCACGATTTTCCTGAACCTCACCCACACAAATCCACACACTCCAACCATGTCTGACATCTCCGGTTTCATCTCCGCCCTCGAGGCCGCCCAGAGCAAGCAGAAGTTCACCCCCGAGGTCCAAACCGCTGCCGAGGGCATCGATGTTGCCGCTCTCAAGGCTGCCGTTGACGCTGCGCTCGCCATGGGCGAGACCGAGACTCTCTCAGATGCTGCGCAGAAGACCGCTCTGGAGAAGGGTTTTGAGTTCGCTACCAAGGTCGTCATGATGCTCAAGACTGCTCCCGGTCCCTTTGAGAAGAAGGACCTCTACGTCAACTTCAAGATTGCCAAGGGCGAGACCTTGGAGAAGCCTGGCATGTTCGATATGGTGGTGAGTTTGCAAGATCTCGTCTTGAGTATTCCCGATAGAGTGATGAAGAAGAAGAAGAAGAAGAAGAAGAAGGAGGAGGAGGAGGAGGAGGAGCTTTTCTTCTGGGAAGATCCTCTTTTGTCTCTTTAGAGGTGCCTCAAACCTTTTCGAAACGCTCGCTGACCTGTACCTCTTTCTCCCTTTTACAGAAGAAGCAGCTCTACTCTGCCTGGGAGGCCGTTAAGCACTACTCGCCCCAGAAGGCTCAGGCCCTCTACATCAAGCACGTCAACGACTTCATCGCCAAGTACGGCACCCGCGACGAGTAAATGCTCGGCACCTACAACTATACTTTGAAGATCAAAGCCAGTCCTGGAACTCACCTTCTTTGTCTCCCTATTTGCATCCCGGAATGACACGGAGACCATGTGAAGCAAAGGACTGGAATGTTAAATGTTATATGATATCATGTTTGGCTAGGAAGCAGCGACACAATCATCATCATTGTTAATGTTGACATATCAACACGCTAATAGGCAGCCTTCATCCGCATCTCCCCAAGTAATGCTGAGGCTGAGTGACAATTGTATTGGAGCCTACTACCTGCTCCCACAAAGGAAGCATTGTGTCCTGCCAACGATCGACTTGCTGCTTGGTCGCCGAGAGGTCTGTCTAATTGATCCAGGTTTGTCCCCGCCAATCGGGCGTGGTATGCGATGCCGTAGCGCACCACGGTTCGTCCAGGGGTCCATACGGCGTCAATGGGAGATCGTAGGGCATTCGAAAGCCAACCACAGTCTCATAATTCGCAGGCAGCGGCGTCACGTCTGGCCTGTCCTGTTTGAAACACGGCACCATTACTGCGGAACTTGATCCTGGACCGTCTTCTTCAGCATCCCTTCGATTCGCCAGTAACTCTGGCCAAACCACAACACCAATCTCCCAGCTGGAGATTTTCACTTCGCCACTCTGATTCACCGCCGCACCCCACGCCTGAGTAGACAGGTTTGCAGACGACACCATTGCCCAATCGATCGTGTTCATGGTCTCTGCATCGCTGTATCGAAGGTAGGTTTTGATGTGCGGTGCCGCCCGGTTTCGGCCTGCTTCTCGCCTGGGAGGAGTGTCCCCTGACAGATCGATACAGGCGGAAGACGCGACGCTCTCATCTCCAGCCCAGTGGCAGAGATATGGGCGCATGTAATCAAGTTGTTTGCGCTGTGGGCTGCTCTGTGTCTTCATGTGGATAGATCCGCCAGAGCCGTATCCTTCGAGGGACCGACGGATCTCGTCTGGTGTAGGGAATATGATTGAGAACTTAGGCTTTGGGATCGGCTCCTTAGGGGCAAGTGCTTCGAAGAAAACGTCCTTGAGCCACTTGTTTGTTTGGCCCAACGAGGCAACTGAAGAGATCTGGACTGGCACTCAGAACTTGGCCCTTTGTATACTCGCAATTGAATAGGCCTTTATGCTTACCTGAATAGCGATATGTGACTGAATTGTGGACCCTTTTGTTGATTTTGCCGTCGTTCTTCGTGTTGGGATCCGGCCCATAAGGTCCTTGAGAGCAGGCCAGCCCCATAGGGTAGCGGTTTCGGAGTCGACATTGTATAACACTTGCTTTGAGGGCGTACTCGCAATGAGCGCAGCCCGAACAGAGTCAAAGTCGAACCGATTTAACTGCTGGACGAGCGACCCTGTCTTTTTGGATCCATATGCCCTAAGATATGAAATCAAGTCTCGCTTGAATCGCGCACCAGACGCAAATGCCGTTTGCTGAGATGACACATTTGTCGTGTTTGGAACTGCTTGCAAGGGAAGTAGAGGAGACCGCCAGACAGCTTGAGTCATATTTGCCCAGTCTCCATGAATCATATTTGCCGTGTGGATGACAACCCTACAACTTGTTAGCCGTCAAAACCTGTCGCAGGGGTCAAACACATGTGGCTCACTGGGCCAGGTCGTCATGTCGGATGAGAATCATCATCTTGGAATGATGCGTCCCGAATCGCTCGGGCATGTAAGCAATGATGGGCTCGACATTTGGGTACCGCGAGCACGCTTCCTGGCATGAAGAAAGGCCCAGTCAGCGTCTCATAACATCAACCCAGCTATCTCTCAAACCAAACATATCAAGCGGGCATCATGGTATAAAGCCTGGCGAGGTGGGAGCAATCACCTCAACACGAATACGATTGGCAGACTCTCGTTCCCAGGACCCATGCACGATCTTGACCTTGACCAGGCTCCGTACATCCTGATCAAATTGAGACATGAGAAAGTCCACATCAAAAAGATAGTTGAACTGCCAACATTCTTGAATCATGGGATCACCCAGGATATCGTGAAGTTTGACTGTGTCGACATTGTATCCTTTGGATTGCGGGTAATCCTGAATATGGGTGAGTTGGAATGGTGATGGGATGACTTGAGTAGTGCCTTGAGAGGGTGTCCCATCAGAAGGCTTCCGTTCACTGTTTTCAGACTCATCCTGGTCGTTAACCATGTCCCTACATGGAGGTCTCGGGGCGGCTGGCGGGGCCCGTTCGCGAGCCCTCGGCGGCGGCGTGATGGACCTGTGAAGAGAAGCTAGTGGTGCAGGACTGTCCTTTAATTGAGCCTCCCTAAATGGACTTTCTGGTGAGACTCGGGCTCTTTTGGCCGGGCGCTCCATTGTGATCTAAAGCGTTGAGTTGCGGTGCGCAACCTCGCCAACTCGACTGTTGGACATAGAACCAATGTCTTTCGAAGAGGCTCCGACAGGCGGAGCACTTGCCGCGATGATATCGGACGCACGTGACTCTACACGGTGGACGCTGAATGATCTCAAAGGCACTTTGTGGCATGTCCTTTTACTCATATAGCAGGGAGCTAATACTCGAGTTTTGGTTTGATTTTCGGATTCAATGGACTATTTGACATTGCGTGTGGAATGAAGTGCTGGAACATGATGACAAATTCGCCCGGTTCGATGCGCGGATAACGTAGACGTATAGTTACCATGACAAAGTCCCTCCCTTCAATTGAATCGGGTAATCGGTACAAGGCCATAGACCTCAATAAAGGATAGACGTAAATGATAGCTTTTCACCCGTCGTCGACCTCCAGCTGAAATCGGTTAATCTCCATCCTGCCCAGCGGCGGATCTTAAACACCATTCAATGTTATTGTGCAGGGCATGCGGTACACACGTCTGGCTGACTTGCTCGATTTTATATCAGAATAGAATATGAGAGAACAGCATGCTCCTAGCCACCCTTTCACAACCAGGCCAGAGTCAAAGGTTGTGCTTTGCCCAGGTAGGCGATCGGGCATCTGTCAGAGTAAATAAACAGTGGGTAAGGTTCCTTGTTGAGGTAGTGCAATGAACCCATCACCTCCACTCTATTTACGCCAAGCCCTAACTAGAAGAGAAGATTGGGATACGTCAATATATTATCACGCATCTACCTATCTCCACTACCTAGACCTTACCTCAACGGTACCTCCTACTGGAGTCGTCGTGTTGTCTCCTTGTGATGGGAGCCTTCAATCTCCAGCTTGATTGACTGATGATTTTTTTGTCATCTCCATGGTCAATTCAATGGTCTTTGGTATCTAGACTCTGCCTGCTTCAACCTGTTGGCCGCGGTGCGGTCGACCATCGAGTTTTTAGTAGGCGGGGTCGATGATGTCTAGACGGATATTATGTTGTATTTCCATCCGCAACATGAACGGCTGAAAGATGAGAGAGAGAGTCAAGAACATGTAAATAACAAGACAGAAATTTGATTGCGCCGGGGCGGTAGCTGCTAGGTGATTCTGTTGCACATGCTTACATGGATGTTTTACATTGGTAGATTGACAGCACCTCAATATGGAGATCAGGCAGCTTATTTTCCGATATATTTAGTGCTCTCTTGTTCAGCTTTGAACCTTGAGATATTCAGGAAGACAGACCAGATCATAACATCAAGCAAGAATCAGCTTTGGGTTAATCAACCATCAATTTCCTATTGCGAGATAGCACCAAGCGTGCATCTGACTGTTCTGTAGTCGATGCCCAAGGCAGTAGCCTTTCTGTCATCGGCGTATCCTTCGGCACGTTTCGGGGATTCATTGACCGACAGTCACCCCCGTCCTCCGCCGCCGCCGCCACTTCACCTCCAATCCCGCTTGAATCGTGAACAACACACTACCCAACCTAATACTCACACGGGAATTTGGACGAAGAACGTCGGAACAACGTCCCTTCCTCAACTTGGAGTGCACTCAAGCCATCGGTCGACCCTGAATCAGTACAACGACACGCGATCGCCTACCCACCTCGGAATTGCTCCGCTTTCGCGTTCTCGATCGGCCACTTAGGCATCGGCCATTCACTCGAGCATCTTACTCCGACTCCTTTCACGCTGTTGTCCGCAGTCCGGACTCCTCCACACACATAATGCAGGACGACGAGCCATCCTTGAACATTCCATCACTCTTGACCCTTGCAGTAGTCTCGTTCTTCGTGCTGCGATGGTTCCTGAACCGAGATGATAGTCCTTCCAGCGGTGGCAGACCCCGTGGCCGAGGGAATGCGGTTGACCCAGCTCAGGTCGAGCAGATCATCCAGATGTTCCCGCAGCTGAGCGTACGGGAAATCATGTGGGATCTCCAGCGCAATGGAGGCAGTGTCGCTGCCACGACAGAGAGAATACTGACCGGTCGAGGACTTGAAACCGTACGTTCTTGACCATATGGGTCATTCATGTTGAACTCCTTACTTGAGGGCGATCTCCCGGTCACACACCTAGATCTGGAGGCCGGCCTGGTTTGAAACCTCGATTTGAAGATCTGGACGCTTGCTAATCCTGCCTTTCCGCCACAGCCACCTCCGTCTTTCCAACCTCAAATCACGCTTCCTTCCACCAGTACTCAATCGACGCCGACATCACGCACGCCATTGGTGTCAAAGTCAGATGCGCAGGACTTGATATCTCGATATAACCTAAAGGGCCAGCTTGCGACGGAACCTGGCCCGGATGCTCCCACATCCCCTGCTAGTGCCAGCGGTTGGTCGCAGAATAAGGAAGAGCGGCAGCGCTTACTTCAGAAGCGCCGGGATGACATGATTCTCGCGGCGCGGAGGAAGATGGAACAGAAGAGCCAGGCCCAACCGAAATAATACCACCTATTCAGACAGCCTTCGGCGCGGGGGCATATGTCCAGAGACTCTCTCGGCATAGATGAGCCAGTCTTCCCTACGGCCTCACGATCGCATCAAGTGGGAACTACCAAGTACTTCTTGCCTCTTCTCGTTTCCTCGTTGCAAATTGTCGACTGTTATCTGTCTTGAATTAGAGCGCGTGTAAATTGCATCATTGGTGGTGTTATTTCAATCGGATCAACTATCGCTACTCGAGCACGATGTCATCCTCGATCATATCTATACGGGTATATCGGGTCATTCACATTAAAGTAGTAGTTTCATGAGGAGCAGTCAATGCGTCCCAGGCTTCCTTCAGGCAGGAGCTTCCCAACAAAAGCTCAGAACTCCATGTAGTCCTCTTCTTCATCCTGGGTCCCATTGTAGCCGCCGTTGGCTCTTTGCTCTGCCAGTTGTTCTCGGCGGGCTTGCTCTTTGGATGCGCCAATTTTGCTGCTCAAGTTAGAAACAGATTCAGACGGAACATCCGGACAGGATTGTTCAAGGAAGTCTGCAGCGTATGTCACTTACCGAAGGCCGTCAACGACTCCAGACAAGAAGCCTCGTTCGTCGCCCAGTTCCATGGCCCCGACGCCTGTCAACGCAACTCCGCCTCCACCCATGGCAGCGTCGTCAAGGACATCCACGCCGGACCGCATCTTAGCCATGCGCACTTCCCGTAGATCTTTCAGCAACCGCCGGATTTGACCAGGATCCATCAGATCGTCACTGGCAGAGTCGAGCAGCATGTTTCCAACTTCTATCCAGTGGAAAGGTAATGCGGGCGGTTCTCCCGACGAAACTGTTGTTTGGGCTGTATTTTGAGGTAGGAATGGCGGGGCTGCGTAGTATCTGTTGCCGTCTAGTGTGTATTGTGGTCGTGCTGTTGGTTCGAGTCCCTGGTCTCGAACGCTAGGCTGGCCGGGTAATGGTGGGGGAGGGGAGAACGCATTCTTGTAGTCTTGATGTTGTGATTCGACTTCTAGAATCAGACTAAGGGATTCAGGGTGAAGCCACGAAGGAGGAATAATATTGGCGCGGCGTTGGCGTTTCAATAGTAAGGCAAGCCACAGAGGAAGAGATGCGCGACGCGGTGGTACAAGAGGTTCAATAGGGCCCTGGAATGGAGACCCACAAAGTTAGATACGGCGTGTTCTCATGAGCGCGAGATGCAAGTGCAGATGTATACCCCGAGTAATTCCAGCCCTTCGAGGCGCTGTCGAGGCACCACTGTCACGGTCTCCATCTCCGCCAGAAAGGCGATCTCCGAGGCGACGATGCCCCGCGGTAATGGAAAGGCCATGGGATCTGCGCATGAGCGAGCTGAGTGCTGAGAAGAATTTTGGGGACTCAGAATACTAGGTCACTGAGAATGAGGCCAAATTGAAGCCTCTATAAAGTTACAGGCGCTGCAATTCTGGTGAACCAAAAGACAACATGTCGCGCGAGGTAGCCTCAATTATTTCCAAATGCAGGGAGTTTGGACTGTTTGCACGGGAAGCTTAACAGCTGTCCCGCCGGTCTACCAAACTATAAATCTTGCCCCGACTATCTTAGCCTCGAGATCCGCGTAATACGCCAACAGCAAACCAAGCGCGAACCTCTGCGATGGTAAGATGAGCTTGGTTTCAGAGTCAGACCTCAGCCGTGCGGCGCGTTATGCCGTACCTTTTGCCCTTCTCCTGATCCCCGTCTGGCGCACCAAAGTCAACACCGAAGTTCCCGAACCCTACCTGGACGAAGTGTTCCATGTCCCTCAAGCCCAGGCCTATTGGGCGCATAAATGGACGCAATGGGACCCTAAGCTGACCACTCCACCGGGACTATATCTGTGGTCTTACGGGCTCTGCGCCCTTCTCCTGGCACTCCGCGGTTCGCCAACGAAGCTCGGCACCGAAGCTCTTCGCACGACGAACGCTGTGACGAACGGAGTCTTTCTGCCCTGGAGGCTTCAGACTTTGTCGGATGCTATTCACAAAGTTCGCAATGAACGTCCGCTGGGTGCGTGGCTGAGCCACACTGTCCTGAATATCTGCCTGTTCCCACCACTCTTCTTCTTTTCTGGGCTATATTATACCGACATCTTGGCACTCCTGGCCGTGATTGAGGCTTATAACTGGGACTTGAAGAGGAGTTCGACAAAAGGCTCTTCTGTCTTTGCTACGCTCGGCTTTCTGCTGTTTGGTCTGGCAGCATTGGTCTGTCGGCAGACAAACATCTTCTGGGTATCCGTCTTCCTTGGAGGGCTGCAGGGAGTCAGAAGAATCAAACAAGTCTCCAAAGCCTGTGGGGCATCAAGCCTCCCCGCAATTGTGCAAGGTGGACTGCGGAATGAGATCTATGATCCACCGGTTTCCGAGGCCTCTCTGCAAGGTACGATTGATGACACGCAAGTGGTCATGTTTGCTAGGCTAAAGTCGATCTCATGACTATAGATTACTTCAAAACCGCCGTCTCATTTGCAGCTGTGGCTGTGAGGAATCCTATCTCAACGATCACCTCGGTGCTTCCTCACCTCATCATCCTCGGGGCTTTTGGTGTGCTTGTGCTGTGGAATGGCGGCGTCGTCCTAGGTTAGTTTATCAAGTTCAACGACACGCAAGGAAAACTCAGCCTAGGGTGCTGACTCTGCGGAAACAGGTCATAAGGAATATCATACCGCAGAGATTCACCTCGCACAGATGCTTTATATCTGGCCCTACTTTGCTTTCTTTTCGTGGCCGATTTTGATCGCCCCTCTTCTGAACATCATTCTCCCAAAGAAGTTTCTGCCAAAGTATGTGGACTATGGCCTTCCAGAAAACCAGAAAAAGCTACCGAGTCTATTCGCTGTCTTGCTCATCGTGCCCGCGATGCTTGCTATTGTCCATTTCAACACCATCGTGCATCCGTTCACATTAGCCGACAACCGCCACTACGTCTTCTATGCATTCCGCATTCTTCTTCGGATTCATCCCGCAATCAAGTATGTTGCTGTCTTGGTTTACTTTCTTTGTGGCTGGGCCGTAATCTCAGCTCTCGGATTCTCTGTCTTGCCGCTTCCGCCGCGTCTACTTCAGATTCCATCCAACATGAAGCCAACATCATCCACGGACCAGCCACAGCCAGCAGTAGAGCAGAGAGGCAAAGAAGTGAAAAGGAATGTCAAATCACGCAAGACCGCAACTAAACAGGAGAGCCCCAAGCCAAGCCAGCCCAACCCTATCACTCCGGAAGTATTGGCTCGTGTTCAACAGTCCCTCATCCAGCGGCAGAAGCACCAGGCTGACGTACCTCGCGTCAGCTTTGTACTGGTCTTGCTCGCTGCAACCACCTTATCTCTTGTAACGGCGCCTTTGGTCGAGCCGCGATACTTTATCATTCCTTGGGTCATTTGGCGCTTACACCTGCCCGCGTCAGTCCTCGCGGCGTTCAGGCAGCGCAGGCCTCGAGACGACGAGGAAAGGACTCGTGCGGACCTTGCCATGAATGCACCAAGGTTCTTGGAGACTATCTGGTTTGTCATCGTCAATATGGTGACGGGCTACGTCTTTTTGTACAAAGGATTTGAGTGGCCGCAAGAACCAGGCAAGGTCCAACGCTTCATGTGGTAGTGAGTGAGAGAGAGAAGAGAGACCGGTTGTGGATTCCTCATTGTAATATACTAAAAATCTTGTACAACAAACTCTGATAGATTGCCTGTTCTTCAAAAGCCAAAAATCTTCGTTGTCACCCATCTGTGTCTAGCAGCCACGTCCGTACATTCTGTATAAATTGATCTAATAGCAACGGACTAGACTCTAGGGTTTCCCGGTTTTCCTACTCAACCACCATTTATCCAGTCCAGCGACATCCTCTCCATCCTGTGACAGCTTGACGTTATGGACCTATGATGAAGAAGGCGTGCAGGCTGGACGACTACAGTGAAACTTGTGACAATTTTGAATAGCTGGCCTATATGTAAGCAGTATCCGCGACGCTTGTACTCGTAAAACTATAAACTATTTCTTTTTTTTTCTGGAAACAACGAAGTGAAGATTCGAATTTCCCTATCAGAATTGAAGTCTCGGAGTCCCTGCAACCATACCCTTCAAGATGGCGCTTGCTTTTTGACTCCCCGAGGTCGGTTCTTGCTCGAGTGAGCTGTATGAGTAAGAATCGCGGTCACATTGCGAGCCCACGTTGTCAAACAGACCCGAGCTCCAACGTGTTGTGTTCGCGTGTAGGCTGATCCTCCATGTCTTCTTCGTTATCAGGATTCAAAGACGAGTCCTCATCTATTGAAGGCGTCGATCTTTCTGCTGCCGAGTCTGACCCAAAAAAAAAAAAACCTTCAGTAGTTGTTCGTGATAGACAGCAAGGTTTTGTACCTCTCCTTACCAGCTTGAGATCGTGGAGTATCGTACCCCTTCAGGTTATCGAGAAATGATGTCGTGTAAACCATGCGGGTTTTACACTCAGCAAGATATCTTTCAAGATGACTCTGCGTAGCTGGGTCGAGCTTCGACATTGCATTGTTAAGTCTCTCCCACTCGCGGAGCTGGTCCTGGTGTCGCTTTACGACGAGCTGGATCTCTCTGTAGAGCTTGGTTGCCAGGCCGAAATGTTCATACAGTGTAGGACAATCTACGAGGTAGGGACCCTCTGGAAAATCTCGAGCTATCGTTAGAGCGTCTTTGAGATCTGGGGTCATTTCGATGGACATGTCCTTGAATTCTGGGTGGTGAATGTCGATGTAGTCTTCGTCAAGAGGCGTAGCCCCAAGAGTCTTATCCTCGCGACCCATAGCCTCGAGAGGGTAGATGGAGTGATGTGCAAGCTTCAGAAAGTTAGCCTATGACTGTAAGATATAAAATAACAGTGCAGAGTGCTGAAGGCTGCCGTGTCCGATTTTTGACAGAAGCCGAATGATGGCGAGGCTCGACAAGGAGAAGATCTGAGGAAGTCAAAAGATTCCAATGCGTCTGCGGTCACGTTCTCCGTGAGTGCAACTATCGCTCGTCCTGTCGGAGCCGGCGATTCTATGTCTAGGCTTTAGTGCCTCAGAGCCTGGTCACCGGGTAAACGTGCCTGTCAGTCAGTTCGAAGTGAGAAGAGGAAAAGGTGCAAATTCAGATGACTGGAGCTCAGAGCCGATGGAGAGAAAGACCCAATGTAGCTTTTTTGGGAGTCGAAGGTAGCTGTGTGGCTCTGTCCGGTGAAGGCTTTGACTCTCTCAGAATCCTCAGCGATAAACCCCATGTTCACTTTTGTATAGAGCTTCGGTGACTTGTCAAGTGTGACTGTTGCCATGTGAAAGCTGAAGACGCAGTGAACGATATGAGAGGGGGCAGTAAAGACAAAGTGTGATCTGAGTGAGGTGGAAGTGAGGGTGAAGCTTGATAGTTCACAATCATTTCATTGCACCAAGAGCGTAGATTTTGCCAAAAGTGCTCGACGACCAAATTCAGGATCACGGAGCTTCGAAGTTGGGAAATACAAAAGCCCTACTTGAGACAGGTCATACATGGTGAGAAACAGAGATCTTTAACTGAGGCGCGGTGGCCTTTCGTCGAATTCGTCAAGTAAAAAAGTACTAACATGAATTGAACAATATAGAAACGCCGGTAGAGGAACAAAGCCCTCCGAATAACCTACGTTCATGAGCCGCCGCGAAATGCATGCCATACACCTATATCCACATTGACCTCATCCGACCCGAACACGGTATTGTTCAAGAAAGAGCCCCCTCCCCAAAACACCAACTGCTGCACAAATCGAGGTGCGAACTGTGCAGTCTCAACGTATTTCCACGAATGAAGAATTAAAGACCATCGTATGCCGCTATAAGAAAAAGTAACATCATGCTTGACGACCAGCTCATTTCATGTCAGCGGGTGTCAATGCTTGAACAATACTCGTTCCCTCGCTGAACCGAGTACGGAAAATTCGGTTCGCATTTTGGAACATCCCGTCCTTGAGAGACACAACGATGAACTGAGAGCCCTTGAACCGCGTCTTGATCAAACGTCCGATGTTCTGGGTATGAGAAAGATCGAGAGCAGCATCGACCTCGTCAAGGATGTACATCGGAGCGGGCTTGAATTGCAATAGGGCCATGATGAGGGACAGAGCGATCAATGAGCTGCAAAACATATAATCGTTAGCTTTGAAACTGCACTGTACAGGAGGGAGCCACCCAAATGCGGCAGGTGAAAACATACCGTTGTCCTCCACTGAGCTCTGTCAGACTTTGTTTCCAGACCTTGCCGAGAGATACCTTGACCTCGAGACCATCAGTGATGTCTTTACCTTCTGGAGGGTCCAGCTTGGCAAAGCTGCCAGGCAGGAGCTCATTGAAGATCTGGCCAAAGTCTCCATTGACCTTCACCCAGGTTTTGTGAAGAGCCTCCTTCTTGTATTCATTGAGATTGATGATGGTTTCCTCGATTTTGCTCTTATCGCGAATAACAGTCCTCATCATGTTTTTGAGCGCAGCCTCCTTCTTTTCCACGCTGTCGATCATGTTCATGACTTTCGGGTTGATCTTCTTCTTCATACCCTGAGACCGTTCCGTCAAGTTGCGAAGTGTAGACTTGCACTCTGCGATGTTCTGCTTTTGGAAGTGATATGGTGTATTAGGACGACCAAACTGTTCCTTCTCATCGGCAATCCAGTCATGCTCCTGCTCCATGTGTGAAACGGCCTGTGCAGCCGTTTGCTGGTCCCTCTGAACCTTTTCAAGTTGGTGACCAAGCTTTTGCATCTCCAAGCCTTCCTCGGTAATCTGGGATGACTTTGATTGGATCGCATCTTCTAATTCGCGCAGTTCTTCGTCGAATCCAGTAAGCTTGGCCCGCTCATCCTCGAGCTGTGCTTGGGCGATGTCGTGTGCGTCCTAGTAAGGTCAGCTTGAAGCTTTAACAAAGAAAATGAGGTTGCCGTAACGTACCTTCAGTCGCATTTGTTCGCGCTTCAGCGACTTGATTTCTTCCACTTGCGCCTGGAGCGTATTCTCGGACTCGGCCAGTTGCTCTTCCGCTGCAGAAAGGTCACTCCCCACTTGCTCGGAGTCCAATCGAGACGATTGTAGTTCTTTTTGAAGTTCCTTGACAGACGCGGAGTTCTTAGTAAGACTCTTCTTCAGCGAATTAAGCGACTCCTGGAGCTCAGCCAATTTAGTGTCTTTGTTGTTACTAAACTCGCTCATATCCTTCTCGATGCGCTTAACGTCCTGGATAGCTTCAGCATGGCGAGCCTTGGCCTCGACAATGTCTTTCTTGAGTTGCTCGATGTTTGCTTTCATCTCCTCGACAGCTTGGATGATCTAGAGAATGTCAGTTTCTAAACTGTGTCGCTAATGGCGTTGAACGTACCGAAGAAGAGGAATTCCCATTGATTTGTTCTTCCGTGAGCTTGATCTCATGAGACTTGAGGTCCAACTCTTGCTTGATGGATCGTACGGCATCCAGCTTCTTCTTCTCTCTGGCCATGGTGTCCTCAAGGGAAGCCAACTGCCGTTCTTTGCTGCGCAGCTCCTTGGAGATTTCATTCAGCTTTTGCAAAGTGACCAGCACTCCGCTCGAGTTGGGAGAGCTGCCACCAGAAAGTGTGCCAGACGGGTCGTAGACATCCCCGTCGAAAGTAACACTCTTCATCCGGACAGAAGGATCAAATGTCACCTTCTTGGCAGTCTCGGCGTCCTGACAGATCAAGGTGTTGCCGAACACATAATCCATCGCAGAGGCGACCTCCTCGTCGTATCCGATGAGGGACAAGGCCAGGTCGACCTTTCCAGGTGCAAGGTTCTGTGCAGCCCCAATCTTCTCTGCAGAAGCTCTGAACGCAGAAATTTTGTTGAGGGGAATGATGGTGACTCTCTTGCGCAATTTACCTTTCTGGAGTAGTTGAGTACCAGTTTCCGCCGAGTCAACGACAACATTGTATAGACGTCCGCCAGCACAGATCTCGAGGGCTGTAGCTGCTGCGACCTGATCCTTGTTCAACGTGAAGAGTTGAGCGACCAGACCCTTGACTTTAGATCGGTCGAATTTCGGATGTGGATCTTGGTAATTAAAATCGATGTTGGCAGCTTTCCTCCGCAAGGCGTCAGCCCTTTGACGAAGATCCCGAATATCCCGCTGTAAGCCTGCCTGTTCTTGGTAGATTTGCTCCTCTTTGCCAGGCTCAAAGCCAAGTCGAGTAAGCTCGGACTCCAACTTCTTGGCTTGCGACTTCATTTCTTCCAGGTCCCTTAGCAGACCGGAATTCTGTTCTTTGGCTTTCCTTGCACGAGGTTCTTCCTCTTTGATCCTTTTCTCGAAGTTGCTTATTTTCAATTTCGCTTGTTCTTGTACCGTGGCAGCGTTGCTGGCTCGGTTCCGAGCGTCCTGCAGCTGACCCTGGTATCCGCTTTCTTGGCCCTCTTTGGATGCAACTCCAGTCTGGAGTGTCTGCAACAGTTCCTCTTTTTGCTCAACCTGCACATTTTGTGCATCAAGCTCGGCCTTTGCAGCATCATATTGCCCTTGAAGTTTATCGTAGACCTTTCTCTTCTCCTTGAGAGTTTCTTCCAAGTCGCTGACCGATTTCTGGAGCACCGTTCGTTTCTCCTTCTCTTCGTCGGCACTGGCATTCTTCAAGTCAAAGACAGTTGTCAATCGAACCAATTCATGCGAGTAGTTCTTGACCTCGTCCTCGAGAGCTTGGAACTTGCCGCCTTTCCTAAGCTCCTTGTCGCGAGCTGTTCGCACCCGTTGCACGTCTTCCTCCAAATGAGAAATCTCATTTCTCAATTTATCCGCATTCTCCTCCAGTGCCTGAACCTTGCTTCGCTTTTTGTCGCACTCTTCTCCTGCCGCGCGCAAACGTTCCCCACCTCGAACGTAATCATGTGCAACCACAAGCCGAGTCAAGCGCTCGAGATCGTTTTGCGTCTGTTGGAAGTCGAGGAACGCGCGCTTCTCCGATCGAAGTTTCTCGAGCTTAGGTTCGATTTCCTCTTTGAGGAGCTCTTCGATTTCGCGCAATTTCAACTCCTTCTTTGACATCGTTTTGATTGCCTTCTCCCTCCTATCTTCGAACATTCTCGTTCCCGCCGCTTCCTCGATCATGGAGAGAATCTCCACGGCCTTCATATTCAAAACTTTAGTGATTCGTCCTTGCATAATCAAGAAGTTTGGGTTGTTGATATTGAGTTGCACACTCTGGAAGAGATTTTGAACCGTTTGCTGCTGCGCGCGGTGGCCATTGATGAGGTATTTGCTCGTGCCGCCGAGGACGATCTGCCGGGTAACGGAGATGTTGGCGTATTCCTCAAAGCCAATCGGTGACTTGGCTGTGTCGCGGTTATCAAATACGATTGTCACACTGGCCTTGGTGACACCAGCCTGACCGCGCTTGTAGATGAGGTCTTGTAGGTTCTGCGCGCGGACAGTGCTCATGTTTGTAATTCCGAGGACGAAGCAAATGGCGTCCAGGATATTGGATTTTCCAGAGCCATTGAGGCCGGTGATCGAGTTGAACGCTTCATCCCTACAGCCAGCTGTTAGCGTATGCGTAGCGCAGTGTTGTTTGCGACGACATTGTAATTGAAGTGGACAATGAGACAAACGCACCATCCTGAGATCACCGTTCGCACGGCGTAGGATTTGAATCCCTAGAAACCACATGTCAGTCTTTCCCCCGTACGTGGCCATCAATATTGACGACATACGTCTATGACAATTTCGATGATCCGCATGTTGGTGATTGCGACTCGGCTCGCGGGCGGAGTTCATCGAAAGTCGGGGAGAACGAAGAGGGGCGCGAGTTGTTTTGCCGCAAATCATGTGTTTACGGATTGCCGATTCAAGCCTAGCGGAGAAGCTAGATGATGTAATCAATTCAACATCACGTGCTGTCGGAGACATCTACAACCCCATGATGCCAAAAGTATCTTAATTAGCGAAACTCCACGCAAGACAGAGGTTTCCGTCTGATTCAAGAAATGGAGGTTAGACACGGTACGATACACCAGCCTGGCTTGGAATTTCTTTCTCCGTCCAAGTATTACGAAGGAACAAACTAGACCAGGATTCGACATCGCCAATCTCGTTCGGGGACAATCAAGCCCTAGGAGCGCCAATCACAGGATGTGAGAACATGAATGCCAATTGCGTGGCAGCTTCTTATGCCGTATATGGTCAAGCACTGCGCAAATTAGATGTAGTTAGACAGTCTCCGACCTATCATGGGTCGATTGTGTCTCTGATCTACGCAATCTTACGACAATATGTGAGCGCGGAGACTTTTCGGATACTTTTCGACTGGCCATGGCCATATGGATCGATGACACAGAAGCACGCCCACCGGTAGACATGAGGATGAGACGGCTCACAGAAATGAATATAAATACAGCTCATATTTCTCCTGACTACCCTTCATTTCATCGATCCTGGATGCGTCTTTCTGTCCGCAAACATCCTCTGGTATCTATACAAGACAGTTGTCCGGCTTTTTTCCGCGTCCACGCAGTATATTCTTCCCAATTGCAGCACCGCTTGGCTACCACCTCTTCTTTGAAAATCCATAGGCCCCCGCAATCCGCAATGAGTTCACACGCGAAAAGCTGGGAAAAGATCTTCAAAGACGACCAGTTTGTGAAACAATACAAGACTGGAGAACAGGTCACGGGTCGATTCGCGCAGCTCCTCATCGATCAGAGTGGCATGGTAGCCGACTCCGGTTCTGACACTCCGCTGGTCATTCTTGACAATGGATGTGGTACTGGTGTCGTTTCCAGTCTCTTGCAAGATCAGATCAAACGCAAAATGCAGCTGACCTGCGGAGATATTTCGCAGGGCATGTTGAATATGGTCAAAGCCCGCCGAGACGAGGAGGGTTGGCGAGATGCACACATCGAGATGGTAGACGCGCAGAGTTCTGGACTTCCTCCCTCGCACTTCACACACGTCATTGCTTCCTTTGGTGAGTCTGATCTATGTCCCTAGAGTCGGGGATTCGTTTCTGTCTTTTTGCGCGATTGCTTATTTCTCGACACGCACTTCAAGTCTTCATGGCACTTCCTAGCCCGCTAGCAGCTCTTGACGGTGAGTTCAGTTTTCCCGAGAAGTCTGAGACCCTCATTGATGTAAGGGCGCGCTGATTGAAGTCAAAGATGCTACCAGAATTCTGCGACCCGGCGGTACTCTGGCGTTCTCAACCTGGATAGAACGTAAGTGAACCTCTCCCTATGGACATGCACAGCATTGACACATGGACAGCTGGTTGGCTCGGCGTCATGCATGAATGTATCAGAACAATCTCTGAAGACCTTCCATGGCCGACTGCTTCACAATTCCTTGAAATCGTGAACAACGGCAAATGGAATTCAGTTGAATGGATCATTTCCGAGCTAAAGAAGCGAGGTTATGAAGACATCAACGTGCGCCCTGTGGCAGAGCATGTGTCACTCGGCGTCCCTCAATTTGAGGAAATGAGTATGACGATGTTCCCAATGGTCTCAAAAGCGTTCTGGACAGAGCAACAACGCGAAAACCACGCCGATGAGGTTCGCCCGGCGATGAAGGAATATCTTGAGACCACTTACGGGTGCAACGGCCAAATTCCGATGGAGTGGACTGCTATCATGTCCACGGCTCGGAAGCCAAATTAGCAGCGAAATGTATGAGAAGACGAACGGGCAGACTTCACGAGCTCGTGACTTGGACCAACCAGCAGCCACTCCTTGTTCATCTACCCTTTCCAACTTTGTATCCGTCACTAGACGGATGACTCACAATGAAATTGTCTTTTCGTAAACCCTTGCTTCCATCGGTATGCTTGCCAAACAGGATTGAAATACTCTAGGTCATGGACAGTGACGAGGATCACCAGACACAGTGAGTCAAAGGCGCACTGTGTCTTCGATTAGCACCTGCCTTGCTAGGGTGAAATTCAGCTGGTTGACGAGGATCAGCAGGCTATTGCACTCGACTGCCTCGCTATGTCACGATGTACCACGCAATCGGCCTCAGACAGACCCCCATCACCACGCCGACGGTCTCACCACTCGTAAACGATACAAAGCCATTGATTGACACACCAAGTCAAACTCATTCCGATCTTCGGAAGTGATAGTTGTCCAAATGAAAGTGTTCAATGTGACATTGTCGACTCTGACTCTCAGAGATTGCACATGTACATTATCATGAAGAAAAAGGTGCTTGCTAATACCCAGTAGATGGCGGTCTGGTCACCCTAGATACTCGCGTGACGACCTCATGCCACAATCAAAAGATCAACTAAATTTCATGGATTGCCATCTACTCGACTTAGATAGTGCCATGGAGACGCCACTACTTGTCTCATGTGGACCGATTATGAGGCCAAAGACTGACCGGCTGCGGCGCGGGTCACAGTCCGAGAGGCATCCAGACGATTATCCAAATCTTCATAACGAAGAATGAATTCACGCTGTGTCAAAGGCAAATTAGCATTCCATCAAGGCCAGAGTGAGCTGTTAAGCGATCTCTTATCTTACCCGAATCTTCTTCCAACTTGTGTGATCCCAAAGGAGGTAAACCCCACGCTCGCTCACCCCTCGTTCGACATCAACCGGACCAGGGTAGGATTCATCACGCGTCAACCAGCACCGCTCAAGCTTATGGTACCGCCATTTGCGGCCCATCAACTCTTCTGCAACCAGCTCCTGCATGATATCGCGCGGCATGCTGTAGAATATGTAGAAGAGGGTCTCGTCGCTGAACCCTGGAATCCGTGAGGAAAGAGGCTGGATGTTTGCAACATTGTAGCATGCTGGGAGAGCGAAGTCCTGTTCCAGCGGGACAGCAGACATCGACGAGACGAAGGGTGATGCGAATGAGGTATGGAGAGGCCTGTTATGGTATCAAAGGATGAGCACAATACTTTTTCGTCTTCAAAGCGGGAAGCAGGGATGATTACTCAGGCTGATTCAAATCTAAGCCCAAAGTCATCAGGTCTTGTCCGACCGCAAGACTAGCCACGTCGGCGCTCTCGCTATGGATCATGCGGAGAAGCCCGCTGAGTCCGAACCTATCCAGCTCGCTCATTTGGGCCAAGGGCGGTTGCTCTGCGCTTTGCATGCCGGTGGCGGGCTCTTGAACTTCACTCCCTTGTTCTTGGCGCTGTTGCAATAATTGCGGGTCGCTGAAGTTGCGCTGACCAGACATGAGAGCGTTAGTTAAGTCCTACAAGGTTAGTGTTGGTGGGGTGCGAGGTCTTGGAAATTGAACCTGAGCCACATACATCTTTATCTTGAGCCAGAGTTCCGTTGGCTCCCTGGCTGACTGGCGACCGTGATGATCCGATGCCTGGCAAACGACAAGGTTAGTCTGGCTTGTCGCCAAAGTAATGCTGGACAGCATATGGTCGAGGGTCGTTCATACCCGAGTTGTAGGCGCCGAATCCAGGAGCTTGCATCGCAGATGCTCGACGTTCCTGAACTAGCTCCGCAGCCACATTGCCGACGTTGCCGACATTGCGTCCAAGAGGCGGAAACTCGTCGATGTTGCCCGTCCGAGGTTGACTACCATTTCCCAGCTGGCTGCTAATTCCTTGCCCGCCGTTCCTGAAATCATCTAAGCGATTCGCAAACTGGGAAGCAGATGGTAGCATGTCATCGTGTGACGCTTGTGACGATTGCTGGTTAAGGAGTTGCTGGCTCTGGGAATTTCGCGAGGGGGGCTGAGACGTCGGAGGATGTTGTTGTCTTTGGACGGGAGTATGCTGCGCCGCCCGTTGACTCGCATTTGCCCATACTGAATTTTGGGATTGCGATTGCTGCGACGTGCCAGACAGGGAGGGAAACTCTCTGCGAGGGGCGTCTGTCAGTACTTCTAGCGCTGCGGATGTTGTCCAAGGCGGCACCAAAGTCGCGAATTCATGAACACCGTGTCGGGGGACCGAAATCAACTTACGAAAGATCCAAGGCTGATGAGGGTTGAGAGCCACCGAGACTTTGTGCAAAGCTTCCCATTGTGCCTAAGGTGCGTTGTTGATGGCCTTGCAGAGAAGATGTTCCGGGAAGATTGAAGTTCCAATTGGCAGCTCCACCTGAAAGGTCGCGAGTCACATATGATCAGCAACGGCCCGCATACTCCGATGGAATGCTTTTCAGCGCCAGATCTGGAATTTGATAGCGTGTACATACCTATCTTACCATTCGGCAATCGTCCCGTGGCTAGTGTCGTGTTTCGGGCTTGCGCCTGTTGTGGCGCAGGAAGTCCAGACATCCCTCGTAATGGTTGCGTGCCAGATCCTGGTAAAAGATGAGAATTCTGTCAGCTAACTCGGCGACCACTTCGGCGTCATGAATTATGTCTCCAAGAAAGCCTGCGCTTATATCTGGCGGAGTTGGGGAGCCGGGGCTGATGGGACGCAGAAGATGTTTCCTACCGGGTCTATTCATATCACGACTCCAACTCTGATAATACGTCAGAGACCTGCGAGCGAACCAGTGCCCAGTCAAAGATGAGCTGCAAGAGATTAGATTTGTGAGACGGACAGGGCACCTGGAATGTAATTGCTGCACAAAAAGCTCTGTCTCCCTCTCTCACAATCTCGGGCTCTCGAACTCACTTGATGCGGCACAACTCCGCTTGAAAGTGGAGTGAAATCGATTGGGTGATTAAGCGCGCGGATGCCGGGGCAGCACAGTGCAAGTTCACCTGAAGCAACACTGACTCCTTCCTTGACGTTAAGGTAGTCAAGCAGAAAAGCTCGGTGGTTAAGGACTCGGTTGGAATAATCTCAACTAAGGTTCTGCGAGTGCGATCTTTGACTGAATGCGTTTGGCGTGCTAACCGTGCTTGATCCGAACTCTCAAAGGCGGCCGGACCGAACTCGCTGGCTAGACGCGTACACGTGATCAGAACGCCGTAACTCCGAAAAATCGCAAGTCATCCTACCACAACTTCAATGGTTGGTTGGTCGACCACGTACACCAACAAACAATGCACCGTTCAACCGTCTCTCGTGTAGCTCAGCATGGCGTCTCAGCTCTTGCTGAGCTACCGCCGCCATACCTCGCACCTTCCCTCCATTTCTCGAAATCCCGAGCTCCCATCCAGACCTCGAGCTTCTCCACGACCTCCGCTGTCGCTGCTCGCCGTGGACGGGACATGAACAGAACTCGTGGTGTGTCCGCGATTCATGGCACTGGTCCGCGCTTCCCCTTGAGCGCCTCGAAATACCCATTGCCTAAGCCCGTTTCACGGGACCAGATGAAGGCTCGTCCTTCCACTCCGAACCACGGCCTATGGGGATTCTTTCCTCCAACGCATGAGGCACTGAGCACTACGGAATACGATGCTGCTTTTGGTAAGATTTTCTAGGCAACTCAAATGGGAGAGCGCGTGCTTTTCAGGAACTGTTGCTGACCATCTGATCTCAGGACGACCGTGGTCAGTCCAGGAGCTACGGAATAAAAGCTGGGACGATCTCCACAAGCTGTGGTGGGTGTGCGTGAAGGAGCGCAATCGCATAGCCACCTCGAACCTAGAGCGGTCTCGACTGAAGGCCGGATTCGGTGACCATGAGGCTAATCAGCGCGACGATGCGGTAAGCCTTCTTCCATATCCCCCAGCGCTTCTGTCCGTGTGGATCGCTTCTTCAAGAGAATCATCAACCCTAGCCACACACAACATTCAATGCTCCTATGGGCTGATACTGATGACTTGACTTTAAATAGATCGTTGTCACGCAAAAGACCATCAAGCATGTCCTCCGTGAGCGCTTCTATGCTTGGGAGGATGCCAGTCGCCTGTACGCCAAGGGATACCGGCCCCAGGATCAGGACAGCATGGAGGAAGCTGCTTTGGAAGAAATGACGCCTGCTGAGGACCCTTTCAAAGAGGGCTCTGTGAAGGAGACCAAGCTGTGACAGTGGAGTCTTGAGAGGAGCTGCGATTCAAAGACCATCGAAGCTATCACATGTACTACGCAACAGAGCTTACGGTGTCGCCGTCATGATGCGTATACTTGCCTTGGGTAATATGCTTGTAAAATATTGAAGACTACTGTGTACGATTTTGAAACAGCCTTGGGTCAACCCCCTTTTCGTTGCCGAGTGGGCCATCTTCTAGGTATATTTAGGAGACCAACTTCCAGTCCCCACTGGCTTCAGGGGCTTGCAGATGATCGGACCAAACAGTAAAGAATGTAAAAGGGGGCATAGGATCAATCTCCCACTGACTGGAGTTTTGAGTTCGATTAAAATGTTAAGGTGAGAAGCTGTAGGCAGCTCCAAAGTGACACCGTTGGTTGCACGGATGGTCGCGTAAACACAAGTACCACTGTTATTTTAACTACAAGCGTACAATCTACAAAGATGCCGAGTGCCTAGCCTCAGCCCTGGGCCTAGTAATAAACTCACTAGCGGCGGACCCCTTCGACTAGTGCTTCTCTTACCGCTTCAGACAATCCGCGGGGACGAAACGACTAGGAAAACCTTCTCTCCTCATTTCCACTTCTTGATTCTGGTTGCAACGCTTCTCCTGCTTCAAGTAGACTTTTGATCTTCTTGCCAATCTCTCGCTCAAACATGGATGAGATCGCGCCTGAATATGATGTTGTGGTGCTCGGCACTGGTGAGTACCAGGTTACCCCGCCATTCTCCCGCAGCTCACGATTGACGATGCTTCTCTAGGTCTGACCGAGTGTGTGTTGTCTGGGTGAGTTATTGCCCCGAATCAAATACAGGAAATTGCTATAGGGGGATGCTATAAGCTGACACATTTCTCACTCACAGTGTTCTGAGCGTCAAGGGAAACAAGGTGCTTCACATTGATCGCAATGATCACTACGGAGGGTAAGTTGATTGCGGAGCTTCCCAGCAGTGGGCTGCATCGGCTACACTACATCAAGCGCGCTGACAATGATCCAACAGCGAGGCGGCATCAGTCAACATTGAAACAGTACGATGAGTTCAAGACCCCGATTCTGGTACTCTACTGAACAGTTACGCAGCTCTTCAAGAAGTACGGCAATGTCCCCGCCGGCGAGGAACCCTGGAAGAAGTACGGAAGAGTGAACGACTGGAACATCGATTTGGTTCCCAAGTTGCTTATGGCAAATGGCGAGCTTACGAATATTCTGGTCTCTACCGACGTCACGAGATACCTTGAGTTCAAGCAGATTGCTGGCAGCTATGTCCAGCAGGGCAAGGGCTCCAAGGCGACCGTGGCCAAGGTGCCTTCCGATGCCGGCGAAGCTCTGCGTTCATCCCTGATGGGCTTGTTTGAGAAGCGTCGGGCCAAGAAGTTCCTGGAGTGGGTGGGTGACTTCAATCTTGAGAACCCGGCGACTCACCAAGGTAGGTTGTCTCCCGCCAGTCTGCTCCAGCTCAGAACTTGGTTTGACTAACAAAGACCAGGCCTTAAGATCACTAGCTGCACCATGAAAGAGGTCTATGACAAATTCGGGCTCGAGGACAACACTCGCGACTTCGTTGGACATTCCATGGCTCTCTGGCCCTCTGACGAGTACGTCAATAAGCCTGGTGCCGCCGTCGAGACAATTGACCGCATTCGTCTTTATGTCAACTCCATGGCACGCTACGGCAAGTCACCCTACATCTATCCGCTGTACGGCCTGGGCGAACTGCCTCAGGGCTTTGCTCGTTTGTCTGCGATCTACGGCGGTACATACATGCTCAACACCGATGTCGATGAGGTCCTCTACGATGAGAGCGGCAAGGTCTCAGGTATCAAGGCTACCATGAAGGATCGCGACGAGCAAGCTGCGCCCATGAAGTTCGAGACCAAGACCAAGAAGATCATCGCCGATCCTTCGTACTTCCCCAACAAGGTCAAGGTAACTGGACATTTGCTCAAGGCTATCTGCATCTTGAAGCATCCCGTCGACAAGACCGACGGCAGCGACTCGCTGCAGTTGATTATCCCTCAGTCTCAGATTGGCCGCAAGCACGGTGAGTGGAGTGAACAATGATCTTACATCATGACTTCGGACTAACTTTAAAGCAGACATTTACATCGCCGTGGTGTCGTCTGCGCACAATGTCTGCCCCAAGGGGTACTATATCGCCATTGTCTCGACCATTGCTGAGAACGACGCCAACCATCACCTGGAGCTTGAGCCAGGCTTTGAGCGCCTCGGTGCCATCGAGGAGAAGTTCATGGGTCCACCCATTCCCATCTACGAGCCCTTGGAAACCGGCGAGAAAGATAACATTTTCATTTCGAAGAGTTACGACTCAACATCTCACTTTGAGACCACCACCAGTAAGTTTCATAAGGCCTGTTGTCTCAACAAATTACGAAGCGTCGGGAAATTGATATTGTTGGTTCCTTTTACTAGATGACATCAGAGACCTCTACCAGCGTGCTGCGGGCGAGGAGCTCAAGGTGGAGGGCCTGCGCGAGGGTCAGCAACTTGCCCAGGAGTAAGCTTAAGACGCAGGAGTCGCAAGCGGGTGAGATGACGAGAATGCATCACTTTTTGCGAATGGCAGTATTTTCCGCGATCGTGTTTGAATCGAGAGTCGCCTGTGTACATTTTCTCACTCGCTGGGCTAGCTTGAATCGGGTTGGCATCAACGCTGAAGCCAAGAGGTCCTCTTTCTGTCGCTTAGTCCTCCTGTGAAATGACTTGTGTTGCGTTGAATGACATACGATCAGATCCAGGACTACGTAAAAGAGAAGCGAAGCCATCAACTTGATGTAAAGGACTTTCATCTATATCCACTAGTGTTACATGGACAGTACTTGAGGATCCCCCCGCGCGAATAGCGCCTTCCGCCCAGCTTGATTCGTTCACAAATGTCGAATGAGTCTGCTCTCACCGTGGAAAGACTCTGCCTCTCACAGGGCATCAAATTCGCTGGTTCAATTCGGGATCCGTATTTGCCTTTCCATGCTCCCCCCACCACGCACACATCTCCAGTGTTTGCTCTCTGAATCTCCGCTCTGAGTAGCGCGAGGCGTTTACCGACATGAATGACCTCGCATACAACCCTTATCTCGGTTCCTGTTGGTATGGGCCTGAGCCAGGTCACGTTCAGGTTGCGACTCACACCACCCAACGTGAATTTACCGGGCTCTGACACACCACGCAGGATGATTGTCGACAGAGTGTCGATCAGTGTCGCGGCACACCCTCCGTGTAGGGTGCCCAAGGAATTGCTCATTTCTGGTGTGACATTGAGAAGGAAAGAGACCTTTGCAGGCGGACCGCGGGTTGCGGACTCGAAGCGGAGGTTGGAATCGGAGGCGCAGACATCCCAGTTCTATAGTAGCGGGTGTATTAGCGCGCCATTCGATCCTTGTGTATACTGGATTGTGCCTTGTTTCGTAGACATCTCCATCCCCTCTCTTTCCTTTCAAGTGCTGTGGGTGGGCTCCATGAGTCGAGCATGTGAGGGGCATTCGACAGATTATACGAACCTCTCCAGAACCCAGTCCGTCGCAGCACTCGAACACAAATTCCTCAAAGTCGTCCAGCTTGCGCGACGGCCTTGTGATCTCTTGCTCCCCCATTTTGGTGAGTGATTGCCGACTTTCTGATTTCCAGCGTTTTTGGGGATGGTACCAGAGTCTCCTCAAAAATGCTGAAGGCATCAAGACAGCGCCGCCGCCGTGACTGGTTCCTTGGAGCTCTCCTCCGCACTGACAGGCTCGGGAAGACTTGTACCTCGGCTGATCGACCAGGGCCGACTTGGACTCCGAAACGTACATTTGATGGAGATTCCAGCGTTGCCAAAGACGAGCTTTCCTATTTTGTGGGGTAGGAGCTCTGAACTACGTTTCCATGCAAAGGCTAGACTGCTATTCACTATTCGGCGTGGAAAATTCCACGAATGTCTGTCGAGTGTCGACCTTCTAATCCTCACTATGTTTACACTACAGAGGGCTACCGGCCTTGAAACAGCTATGAGTGGACCACCGGACTATGAGATGGTCTTTGTTACCGCGAAATGAGCGTTCGTTAATGGAGGCCCCTATTCTGGAGCACGTTGCAACGCAAGTTCTAGGTAAAGATGCCTAGCTTTAATGCAATAAAGTAGTATCTAGCGGTTTTCAAAGGGAAGTAGAAGCTAGCAGTACACAGGATCCACGTCGCATCCCGTATTGCAGCCTGAGGCGCTCAAGTTCCAGATGCTCGATTCGTTCCCGAGTCTGTCAACAACATTATCCGCCCTGCAATTGAGACGATCAACGAAGCTCGCATTTCTTGAGACGCTCGAGACCAGGCTCTGACTCCCCGGCGATTCTATTGCACTACTTTCTCACCGTCCAAGCGGAATCTTCATCGCTTTCAGCGTCTGCAAAAGGGGGCTCTGCCGCGTGCTCAGGCCTGTACTTCTTCGTCGACAAGATATCCGCGGAGGTGCCACACAGCAAGCTGTCCTCGAGCGAGCTTCCTATCACCTCGAAGCCACACACTCGCGATCCGACCGTTCCGTCACGAGCGCTTTGTCATCGGAAATACCTGAAGAACGGACACACAGACAGCCATGAAAGATGCTCGCGCAGTGAAGCGGAGGAAGGTCTCCCCGCAGCCTTCAGAGGATGAAGACGGAGATGTCATGATGGAAGACGTCGTCGAAACACATTCCACGGCAAGCTCTCCGGAAAAAGACGCGGACTCGGAAGAAGACCAGGATTACAGCGGGACCGGGAAAGGCAGTGCGCGCCGACAGAGCATTCGTCGCGGTAAAAGCGATGCGCCGAACAACGTGAAAGTCGAGGAAGTCGAGACACCGAGAAGTACGCGAACCAGTGGACGGCAGCGCAGACCACCGCAAAGGTTTGAAGACGTTCAAACCCCAACCTCAACCCGCACGCGAAAAACAACAGCCACTCCTCGAAGTACCCGCCAGACCAGGAGTGTCCAAAAGCCACAACCAGAATCCGTCGAAGCCTCCGAGACCGAGGCGGACTTGCAGCCTCCAAAGCCCACGCCTTCAGTCGCCAGGACGAGGTCGTGCAAGGGTGCCGCTAGGGCCAAGCCGGAGACTGGGAAAGCAAGCACGACCGGAGAACCCGTCAGAGATGCATCACCGTCTCTGGAGGCAGATAATGAAGATATCGGGGATCTACTGGATATGCAATTGCAAGCCCCCATCAACGTGGAATTGCAAGAGTTGGACGAAACGGTCGAGCCTCTTCCCGCCTATGCAGAGACGCTTCAGGCGCTGTGTCAGGACGGGTTACAGGGCCAGCTTCGCATTCTCACCGATGCCCTGCTCGGCAAGATAACTGGGAAGAAGCGAAATCCACTAAAAGGACTTGAGAACGAGTTCGGCAAGGTGCATCACCTCATTGAGCAAACTGTCACTGTAGGCGAGGGTAATTCCATGCTTCTTCTCGGTTCACGTGGTTGTGGCAAGACTGCGGTTGTGGAAACCATCATCTCGTCACTCGCAAAGGAACACGGCAATGACTTTCACGTCGTCCGGCTGAATGGCTTTCTTCATACTGACGATCGCCTTGCTTTGAGAGAGATGTGGCGGCAGCTCGGTCGTGAGACGCATACGGAAGACGACGCTGCCAAGGTCAACTCTTACGCGGACACGATGGCTACTCTACTGGCGTTGTTGTCGCATCCAGAAGAGTTATTTGGTGTCGGAAACGGCGACAAAGTCACTGCTGCCAAATCTGTCGTGATTCTCCTGGATGAGTTTGATCTGTTCGTGACACATCCTCGCCAAACATTGTTATATAATTTGTTCGACATTGCACAAGCGCGGAAAGCTCCCATTGCGGTTATTGGGCTGACTACCAAAGTCGACGTGACGGAGATGCTGGAGAAGCGTGTCAAGAGCCGGTTTAGCCACCGCTATGTCTATATACCGCAACCGAGGAACTATGAGACTTTTGCGGAGATTTGCATGGCGAGTCTGGATCTTGATGAGAACGAAGTTGAAGAACTTGCGGAAAGTCTTGGTTCTGAGCGGTCACTGTTGAACACGCCCGGCTGGAACACACTCCTCCATGGATGGAAAGAGTACTTGCAGGTAAGCGTGAACATACCTACCAAGAAGCACATGCTGTCTAAGCCGATTGATCACTGACCACGTGTTTTGTTTTTTGTTTTCCATTGTAGGGTTTGTCCAACGACACCGAATTCCAATACCACCTCAAAAAAATCTACCACCAAACAAAATCCGTCAAGGAATTTCTCACGAGCGCGCTTCTTCCCCTCAGCAACTTGCGCTTGAGTGCCGAAGCCACCCACGATCCAGGTTTCCAGATCCCGACGCCGAAAGACTTCATCACTGAATCTCTCGTATGTTCGGATCCCGCCCCGCTACCATTTTCCACCTCCACAACGGCATCATTCAGCCCTTCCTCCCTTCCACTGGCGCTTCTACTTGCGGCGGCTCGGCTTTCCGCGCTGTTCGACCCCAGTAACGACGGCGTTCCGGGCCAAGTGGTCGGCCCGTTGGCGCTTTCTTTTCCTGCCGCCTACGCCGAGTACGTGCGTCTCCTCACGTCGGCTAAGACGTCAGCATCAGTATCCGGTGCGGCAGCTACGCCTGGCCGTGTATGGGGTCGGGATGTGGCACGCGAGTCTTGGGAGAAGTTGGTCACCTGGGGTCTGGTCACGCCCGTCGGCAGTGGTAATGGCACGGCGGACGGCCAGATGTTCCGTGCAGAGATTAGTTTTGAGGAAGTTGTGGAGATGGCCGGCACCGGAAGCTCTTTGGGTCAATGGTGGAGGGAATAGATTGGGGATGGGGCACTTTGTTTTCACTTCTACCACTTCTACCACTTCTACCACTTCTACCACTTCTACCACTTCTACCACTTCTACCACTTCTACCTTTTTTCACAATATACAAGTCTCGGCTTCAAGAGCCCATCTGATAATTGCTCCCAAATGCGCGCCTCAGACTGTATTGTCTACCAAGCTATCATCTCGTGTATTCCTCCTCGACCAGACAAAGTAAGATCATATGGAGCCTCACTATATTCCTCATGCTGTGTACTTCTCTTGCAGCCTTTGGTAACAGGCCAGCTCAGGATGAGACGCCCGGCCGGGGTACACTTAGACTGCAACTGATTGAAGTGGTCAAGCCCATGAGATGGTATCGTCCGGAATCGAAACATTGCGGCGACACCTGTAGTCGCTGACACGCAACGTCTGACTCGAGCTATGCACGTGAAGCGATCGACCTGGAGGCTGTTGAACTCGAACTCAACACAAGACTGCTTGGGGATCTCCCCGGCATTACTAGGGAAACCAGCGAGCCACGACTAGTCGTACGGCAAGCAGTGAAAGCACCTCCCCAGCAAGGTTCTTCCATGAGTTCAGGGTACGCCTACCCTGGAACTACCAAAGAAAACACAATGATAATCAAGTCCCACTCCTCATTCCCAATTTCGAGTCCCCCATCACCAAGGGGCTGCTGGGATGCTTCCTACCTTTCCAAAGCTTCGCGCCCTCGCAAGCTCGAGGCTAGAAGCATGATAGCTCCCTTGCTGATTGGCTTCTTCTGCATCCACGATGCAGACCGTATGCATGCATGCTGCTTCAACCATGTGCTTTGGAAACATGGAGAGTGACATGTCACGCATTGCTGGCATCTCGCATCCCATCAGGCATGTTCTTTTTTACTCCACCCTCCCGAATCGGAAGCAGAAGGGGCAAAGGGCGGTTTTACTGCATGACCGATACTTGGATCAAGGCTGGGGGGAGTATTTTATCTTTCTTCTTTCTCTTCTTTGATGCAATGCTCCCCGAGGGGCACGTAATTATTGGGAACGCTACTGCATGGTTGCCCATGTGTTTGGGATTGTGATGATTCTCAACCCAGCCATCTTGGATCGTATGCAGAATCGAGGTCCAGACTGGGTATCGAGTCGGAGATGCGAACACTCGCGAACTGCATGATGGTGATGTTATCCCGAATGCCGGGTTGGCATGCAAATGCCCGATCGTACTTTTGTCGATGTTCAAGGAGCTTCAGCAGCAACTGTATGTAGCTAATCGTGTAACTAGTAGCTAGTAGCCACTAGCTACTAGCTACTAGCTACGTAGCTTCTGCATGTACTGTGAAACGACAGTACAATAGACTCAAGTCTTCAGAATGTACATTGTACAACACTGAGCAGTGAGCACACGAGTGCTCCCGTTTCTTCGGAGTTTGGCAGACCAACACCGGACCTTTCGAGCCGAGACTCAAACTCTGAAGTCCGGGGTTTGAAAACCTCCGAGGGCGATCTTTACCTCTGCAGAGTGCAGAGTGCAGACGGCAGACACCTGGAGCCGGAGGCCATGGCGCGTCCATGTTTCGCAAGTCGTTGCAAGTCGAGACTTGACTGGTGAATGTATCAGTGGAGTAAGGTAGAGGTGCCTGTTTCGGCATGGAAGGGGTGACCCATGTGTCTGATCAGATGGGGGGTCGATAGACTCGATAGAGTCGATTCTACTCCATTCGGGTATGTGCCAAATGGGCGCAAAAGAGCGCACGAGAATGTCCAAATTCGCCCGAATGGGAAACCCCATCTGGACTCTGGACTTTGGAGGGGGATATTTTGAATACTGGGCTCAGTGGGCTGGACTGTACACCAGTATACTTCTCCAAAAGCAAACCCCAACCCCCGCTGCGTCCTGCGTAGGCCCTCAGGAGCATACAGTATGGAACCTGAAGCCTGGAAAGAGTCAAGACGGGTATCTGCGTCTTACAGTAGTGTCCGACCACACATGGCTTGATCGCCCCCTTCTCCCTTCTCCCTTCTCCCTTCTCCCTTCTCCCCCCTCAAGACATCCTCCCCGGTCACAAGTCCCATGCTGGTCCGTTTTGGGCAAAGATGACCTCGGGTGGCAATTGCCCTGCGCATCCGAATCGTCTCGATTGTTGAAAATGTTTGGTCCGGACGTTGGAAACCCACCCAGCTAACTGGACGCCTGCTTGCGGATCGACAGTGCTGCCGCTCAAGTGCCAGTGCCAGTGCCAGTGCAGATCGAGGCGCACGGCCTACGACTGCGTAGCGCAGGAAGATTGATCCGAAACTCAAGACTCGCGAGTCTTGTTGGGGTCGACAAGGAGGATGGCCGGGGAAGGTCGATTGGCTGGTCTGTATGGAACTTTCGACTACAAGGGTAGCCGAAAGTATAGTCTTCTTCGTCTCCTTCTCTCCTGCTTCTCCCTTTCGGCCCGTTAGGGATTCGTACATATACTCGTACAGTAGCTGACTGCATCCTCAGCCACAAAGCCATGAGGTGGCGCTTCGAGGCTTTGCGGACTTCGAATTGAGGCCGGTCTATCACCGTCACCTCCACAACCGAAGACCTCAGGGATCGTCAACATGGAACAGGCTGGTATGGCGGGATCGCTACCGGGCCGTCGGTGGAATCTCACTTCTCTTCCGAGGCGTCAACTCAAGGCAAGGAGGGGTCGTGCGCAGATGAGGATCACATTGCGACAGAATGGCCGCCTGCCCGGATTTAGGCATTAGGCACGGGTGGTTGGGCTGATTGACCTGGACGATCATGTACGCGTCTCTTTTGGACGAGTTGACGGGAGAGACAGAAAAGCCTGGAGATTTGTGGCCGCGTACTCCCACGCGGGACACACCGCATATTCGAATTGTCATCCTTTCTTGATACATTCTACCAAGTACTCATCTTGGTCTATTATTCATTTTGCTGACGGGGTGACTTCCAGGGAGTGCGTGCAATGACCTTACAAATAGCTTGGCCACACGACTAGAACCGGATGGTGTCTTTAATCTTCTGAGCTCATGAACCTAATATAGACTCTTTTCCTGAATCTTGACCACTAACCTACACGGATCTGAGTGGAAGACGGCGCTAAAACACCTCTGATAAGTCACTATTGATGGATGTACACGGGGACATTGTGAATAGGCGCCGTTTTGGGTCTTTGAGCTCGCCTTGTCAGACCAGCAACTTTCAAAAGGGGTCATCATGTAGATGGGTAATAGGTAGACCCTGTACAATGTACAATGTACATACATATGTTGGGCATCGACGTAATCGACGCACAAGATTGAAGGTAGATTAGGGAGTCAGGTACCGTACCTCTAGCGCCTCCAGACTTTAGAGCCCATAGACACCCGACGCTCAAGCGATGGAATGAATTTAGCCGAATTATTCATGGTTCTATCATGTCATCCTTCTCTAATTTGACATCAGGACAACCGGGATCAAGCAGTGGAACTAATCTCATTTAGTTGTAAGTGTCAAGCGATCACTATAGATCAACCACTCTACGGAGTCCGTCCTCCATTCAACTCTGAGATTGACAAAAGTGATGTAGACTGTAGCCACGGCCGATCCAAGATCTCACCCGAAAACAACAGACTGGGACCAAGACCAAATATCTCGAATGGCTGGTGGTCCAGCGATTCAAGGTATAAAGTAGCTTATCTCAATGTGACGTGGCAATGAATGGTGAATGGTGAACGGGTGGACCGGGGGTGATGTTGTTCAGTCCGTCTCCAATTTCCACTCGTGCCTACCATTGCTGAAACGCTATCCTCTTGTCTGGCCTACAGCGTCGACTCTAGGTGATGGATCATTTCCACTCGTGCCTACCATTGCTGAAACGCTATCCTCTTGTCTGGCCTGCAGCGTCGACTCTAGGTGATGGATCATTTCCACCCAATTCTTCATCACGCTTTCCTTTCGCGATCGGCAATGCCCACATGAAGCCGTGCAAGTTTCATCTTTGGCACTTCACTCGACCCGCTATTGACTACCGAAGACGACGTGTCGTTGACTTCGTTGATCCACACCAGTGACCATTCAACAAGGTGTTTGCGAACATAGGCAACAACCATACCATTGTGCAAATTGACTCCAGGCAAAGAGAGAGAGAGAGAGAGAGAGAGTATGACCTTCCTGGAAACTCGAGATGTTTCAAATGACCGAACCGGTCTCATGAATCATGAGGACCTTCGGTCCTTCGGAAGCATGACCCAAACCAATGCATCCCAGTCCCGCTCCTCTCCACCCTCCACCAGGCATGATGTGCTCGCTGTCTGATCTCATTCGCCCTTTGTCGTCACTCGCGCTTACCGAATGAGTGATGTTATCCGTCATCGTAGACTGTCGGGTGTTGTAGTGTTCCATGTCGGTTCAGCGACCTCGGAGCTTGCAGCTGATTGACACGGAAGAATAGCCCACGTGCGCAGGCTGCGGGGGATCATCAACCGCCAATTTGATCACCGCGATCGAAGGTTTTAGTCGGACATCCACAAGGGTAAGGTTACACGGTACAAGTGACTACCGGACTAGCAGTACCGTAGCTTCCCGTGTTATGTCCTTTGTCTCTCTATCATCGTTCTCGGTTTTGGACAAGGAAAGAGGGATATGCGATAGGTACGTAGGTATTAACCTTGGCGTGAGAGGTCCATGTCCGACTCTCCGTTCCTTCTTTTCTTCTTTTCTTCCTTTCGATCTTCCTTCTTCTGGCTACAGGACGAATCAGCATCAGCCAAGGACATACCCTGAAGAATGCCACATGGTCGGTGAAATTTGACAGTCCCACATCTGGGCTGCAAGTCATGCTGCCAGCGCTGCCAATGCTGGAGTGCGCCCTCCAACTCCGAAGGATTCCCCGTCTTGCTTGGACTGCCAACGACGAATCACTTGTAGACCGCTACTTGGTCCGGGAAAATACGAGATCCATTATCGGGTGAAAAGGATACGCAGCGGGGATTCGCCCATTCCTGCAGCTGGGTTCTCGAAGGATGTGGAGTCGAAATGGAGCAGTACCGGACTTGCCAAGCTACGTGGAAAAAGAGGTGAGGATGAAAGATAGACGAGACCGGAAATGTAAAAACAAGTTGGCGGATCTCATGTTACAGTAAGGTGTTACTGTAAGACTTAAGAATTAGTGAAATACTACTGATTCTGAATATGGAATACCGATAAGAAATTTTGAGAATAAGCTCTCCATTCGTGGAGAATGTCCGGGCGATCGCCGAACCCGCTCCTAGAGATGCCATCGTAACCCAATGTAACTGAACACTAACAGTATCTTGAAACCTTCAAACCCTCAGATCTTGAGTTCTTGATCCTTGTGGAACAACGCAAGAGTCGCCTTACGCTGTACGGTATTGACAAAAATTGACTTCATTTTCTCCCGCTAATCAGGAATCTGGGACACTCGTCTCGGGTAGGGTCGGTTCCTTCACAAACACCATGCTTTCTGATTTTTCAGTCGTAGATCATCTGCCACGTGGATGGGCTATTTCCTCCCTCTCCTTCTCTATGCGCGAACCCTCCCATCAAAAGCTTCAATGTCACTCATAAAGTAAAACGAGAGGGGGAGGGCCTTGTTACCCGCTCCAGCCTCCAAGACCGATCGAATGATGACCGATCATTGCTCATCAAGTTACCTATCAATCTACAGCGCCCAGGATTGTGACTGAACAAACGACCAGGTCAGATAAGGGCCAAAGAGCACACAGCATGTCTTTACCCGTATCTACGGCTCCTGAGAGTATGTATCATGGTGGTTGAATCGCGGATCTACCTAGTATCTAGTATCTACTAGGTTGGCTCAATGGCTGCCGATGTTCTCTGAGGACAGACAATGTCATTGTGTGGTCTGTAAACAATGGAATATCTACCTGGCTGCAGTGATATCCCCCATTCGATTGGTGTAAACTGTCAAGCAGCGCTTAGACGGGACTAGTCAAGGTTCCGACTACTACCGTAGACGAGTAGATTCATTATCGGATCCGCAAGATCAGCCACTATGCCCGGCGAGACGGCGGAACCGCTGCAGTGACTAGCCACGAATGCCTTGGAATGACTTGTTTCCTAGTCTCAATTTATTTTTGAGGTCGTTGTTTCTCTTTTTGCCCGGACTAGTGGTGTGCAACAGCTTTTCAGTCACGGAGTACATTCGTATATTGCGAGGCACCTTCGGTATCAGACGATACTGTTGCAATGCTTGTTAATTACTGCTGCTGGACAAGAAAGCGCAGACACTCCCATCAAGAACATACTGACAGTGGTGGCATCTCGTGGTAAGCAATACAAAATGAGTAGACAACCCCTGCGATAAGTATAAGTTTGATCTTGATAATCTAGTCTCCGACGAGATTGTTCGACGGCCAATTCCGATATTGCTGCATTACTTTGACACATTGGAAACAAACACCGAGCCGTGCCTGCTTTTCGCCAGATGGTTCAGGGATGAAGGGGGAGTTGCCATCTGGGACAAAAGAAATGTAACCATATGGCATCGTAGATCGTTGAATTCACATAAAAATCCAATATCATTGCGGAACCGTTTGAAGGAATATGAGGAAAATACCGTCCCGTGTACGAGATTCCCCTCCCTCGCTACCTATTTTTGGGTTTCTCCTCATTGAGGTCGATCAGTATCGTGCCTTACCTCAGGTGCTGGCTGTACCTTTATGGACCTCGGTTGTACACACTGTAAGGTTCTATCTGCCTGCGGTGAACCAAACTAATTGCGTGATCATCAATTTCTGCGTTTCTGCGAGTGCGCCGAGAATATCCACAGCTCCCGCGCAAAGGGGAAAAAAGCCCCCCTCCATCTTTCATGTCTGATTTTCCAGTGCTTGTCTGCATGATGGCGTCTCGGCTGAATTGGACTGCTTAGGACGGCGCTAGCTCGACGGTACCACAGAAAGGAAAAAAAGCCTCTCGTCCGGCGGAAACTGCGCTTCGAGGCGCCACAACCACAGAATGATTCCTCCCTAGTGAAGAAATCCGGCATTCTGTCGCGTAACAAGTCAAGCCGCCAAAGCCAAGAAGAGAGCAATCACTCTTTTCGTACACGATTTGCGAGACTAAGCGGAGACAGCGGGCCCCAGGTGTGAAACACGAGCCTGGAACAACCACGAGAAAGGAAAAGCAACCTCGGAACAATAACCTTGCGGGACGTGGCGGGGG